GGAAAGTGGTACCAATCCTCTTGAAAGCTGGGTTCTTCCTTCATCATTCACGTATTGTCTGCTTCTCTCCATGGTCTTGCCGAATAGTCAGTCGCCGCATATCCAATGCCTTATTAATTGAATTCAACGCTCCCCTTCTTAGCTTTGCTTTTCTTTTAGCTTTAATTTATGTTTGAAGTGTTTCGTATGCAAAATATGAGCTCAGGCAAGAGGACCGAGGTGTTACTTGCAACTCTGTTTTAATTAACTTTTGATAGAGAGTAGAGACCGTAAACTTTCGATAAACTTTGTTTTCTGTATGAAATTAAAACAGACTTCCTTTTGCGTTATCTTCAATCACACGGAGGTTTGGTAATCGTTGGGATTGATCCAAACGTCCATCACATTAATGATTATGGGTTTTTTAGTGGCTATATCTTAAGCTGAATCCTGAAAGACTGTACTGCCGAAGCTCGCAATTGCTTGCTGAAGCTTACAAATACTTTGCCAAGGATGGTGAGTTTCCATTCATGCAGAATTTTTTGCAAGTTCTTTTAAAACTTCTCAGAGGTTAATAAAGGGCATCGCACTGATAGACCAGTGCATATCTAGGCTAGCTACCTTAAGTAGCACGAACTTTCTTAATCACCTGATAATTTAAAATAGGAGGGTAGAGCGCTTATATATGAGAGGACCTTGCGTAAAGACCTTTACGTACATAGGGAAATATATTACGTTAGAAATTGGTCATATGAAAGACTTCTTCTGCTCACTAGTATCTTCAGTGCTGTGCGATTATTAACTGTTTTGCTTTGATAGGTGATGTCTTTCATCAATTAAGAAAGCAAATAGGTGTGATGTTTGAACGCAGTAAACCGCCTCTTTCCCATTTTTTCACCGCCACCTAGTCTGCTTCAATTTGGAACTCGTTCCAGCATCCTGCATATTTGCTAGATGAGGTGGAGGAGGCAGAGAAATGTACGAAGTTGCATGGATACTTGTGACCTTTGATTGAATTTTAGCTGCCGGATTTCTGGAATCAGCCAAAGGAGCAGTTTATGCACCTGTCTTCCGAGCTATCCGATGGGAACATGTGATTTCCCACTTTCGTTCCACATGCCAAATAATTCGTGACGGCATTGTGCCTCGACGTAAGATGACCTTTTATTTTTTTACAGCTATGGTTTAAGAAAGTTGTATGAGGTGCTATACCGACCACATTAGATTGTTTTAAGTCTGCGATAGGTTCAACGTGGCTGAAATCAGTCCAGGTTGTGAAGTCTACTTTCAAACTTTGAAATGCCACTGAGTAGATGTAGTGTATCTCTTTGCCATTGTGTCTTTTGAAACTTTCACCGACGATGGGTCTTTCTGTCACGAAGCATTGTCAATCATCATTGCTCTTTTATTACTAACTCCTATTTAACAAAGCCAGTAAAATGGAATCGTCCAAGGAAGAAATCCTACTATTGATTATTCTCCTAAGCTATATAAACTTGTTGTCAGTACAAATTTGGTACGCAGAAAGCAAACGACTTGAAGACG